GGCGAAGTTCCGTGCCCGAGCGAACGTTAAAGCGTTCGAAGACAAGCGCGCGGATAACTCTCTGCATGGTTGACACGGCCGCCTTGGACCCCATTGCCACGGCACGGATACCGACCCAAGCGAGCTGGCTGGGATCGCCCCCGAAGGCTGAGGCGGAAACTTTCTTGGCAAATGTACAAAAAACCAAGCCGCTCTGGCGGCAGATAAAAGAGGTTGAAACATCTTGTTTGATCTTCTGAATCCGTCCACAACTCGTCTCCATCTTCAAGAAAAGCGGTGGACAACAAAGATGCAAATGGCAATGTGTTGTCGTCGCCCCTCAGTTTCCGAATGTATGCGTTTATTGGTGTGAATATAGAAATAAAGCGGAGCAGTCCCTCGCCCCCGTCGGGGCCCTCTGGGGGTTTGTCGATCCCCATGGCTCCGTTGAGCACAGGCCGCCCGGCCCGATCGCGGAAGACTTGGCGGTCAGGGACTTCGGCAAAAATGCCTCTTTGAAAGCCCTCTTTGACGATCTTGCACCACTCTCTGTCGGACGCGTGGACGCGAGAAATGCGAGGTTCGGATGGCCACTCCGTTTCCGGCAATAAGCAACTCCATGGGTTCAATACGTCATCCAGGACCCAGGGGTCCGGAATTTCATGAAATCTCGCACCCGTTGAAATATTCCAAAATATCTGAAATTTTGCGTCGTCGCATCATTGGTTTTCCCTCGCGCGCGTCATCACATCGATTTCACATCGCGCTCAATCATCCCCCCCCCCCCCCCCCCCATTGATCGGCACCTGATGTGTATGCGCGCTAGAGTTTTAGTAACATAGTATGTAGTTTTAAGTAGTAGTACGAGTCGTAAATATAATTGGTGGTAATGTAGTACTAGAAGGGTGTTAGTAAAGTTGGCATTGTGTAGTAGTGCCCAAGTAGGTTGTATAGTGGTAGTGGCGGTCGTACGCAGTAGTAGCATAGTAGTTGTTTTTTTTTTTTTTGCGGAGGAGGAGGGGGGCGGAGGAGAGGGAGGAGGAGGAAGGGGAGGAAGCGGAGGAGGAGGAGGGAAGGGGAGGAGGAGGGACGAGGAGGAGGAGGAGGATGGGATGGAGGAAGAGGAGGAGGAGGGATGGGGGATGGGGGGGGGAGGGGGGGGGGAGGGGGAAACGGGACAGGCCTCGGAAGGGCGCGCGCCGCTGCTGCGGTCGTCTCCACCGCCGACGCTGCAGCTCCCGTAGCGTCCGTTCTCGGCTGCCGCCCCCGAGGCTCGCCCAAACAACTGCCGCCTCCGAGGCTCGTCCAAACGACTGCCGCCTCGAGGCTCGTCCAAACGACGTCGCCCCGAGTGCTGTCGACCTCCCTCCCCCCGTTCCACTCCTTCCCATCCCTCCCTTCTCCTCCCCCCCCTCTCCCCCCCCTCCTCCCCTATCCCTCTGCATCTTTAGCTGCGTGGCGGCATGAGCCGAAAACGCACAATCCATGCACGCATGCATTCCAATGGGCGGCTAGCCCGAGAAATAACTATAAGCCGTGGCGACCACCAAGCCCACAACTGGCATCGACATGGCGTTTCCCGTCGCCCTGACAGCGTCGGGGGCGCGGGCGAGGCACGAGGGATCAAGCCCTTGCAACTGGAGGCGCTCAGCATCACTCAGATATCGCTGGAACGCGTCGGGATCACCCACTTTGAATATCCACAAGTGCCTATTATTTGTTGTGAGCGTGGGCACCGCTCCGATGTGGAGCTCTGGCTTCCGAACTTTTCCAAGCGACCTAGAAAGATCGCAGCGCGCAATCGAGCCGTCGGGGACGTTGCGATTTCTGGCGAGCTCCCGGTACGAATTCAAAGTGCGCTTCTGGAGGTCCGTCAGCTGATGAAGCTGATGAGGAAGAGACGGGTCCAGGAACCTGACCAGATCAATGTGTGTCAATTTCATACCGTCTGGATTCAACCTTAGACGTGTTTGAAACTTGCTCTTCTTGCGCCCACAAATGTACAAACGCATTCGTTTTTGCGGCAGTCCACAGAATTGCGTCTTCATTGTCCAATGCCACACGTCCCAATCATCTCCGAGATCACCCTTCATTAGGGAAATTACGTCTTGGAGATGCGAAGTGCCGCCCGTCTTGTCTGCGAACCCCATCGCATTCTCAATCGCGAAAATCTGTAGCTTGGTACCGCGGCGGCCAGCTTGATGAATGATCAGCTCTATCGCCGTGGAAAAAGAAACCGCATGCGGGTCGCCCCACATATGTTGTTTTCCCGCCCTGCTGAACGGCAAACACGAAGGGCCCGCCAGCACCACGTGGGCAGCTGGCAGCGTAGCCACGTCGACCTGGGAGACACCGCAACAAACACATCCGATGTGATGGGTGGGTGTAACGTTTTTACTGCAGACGAACATCACACACAGGCAACAACAATTTTTACACGTGTTAGATCTCCTCGAGCGCCCTGCATATTGCATATTGACCCCTTTCTCCTCACGTGTGCTTTCCTACTCCTCCTCCCCCTCCTTGTCCTCCTCCTCCTCCTCCACCTCCTCCTCCCCCTGCTTCTCCTTCCCCTTATACCCCACCCTCCTCCTTCTCCCCCTCCTTATGATCGTTCCCCTGCGGGCCGCGTTGAAGTCGAACGGTATGTTCACGGAGCCCGCGTGCTGCAGCAGCGAGTCGTGCACCCAGTCGCAGTGGGCCTTGAGCGAGGGGTTGTTGTCGTAGCAGTGGCTCTCGATGTCCAGCCCCAGCTGGGGGTGTAGAGAAAGGGGGGAGGGGGGGATGGGTGGGGGGGTGGGGGTGGGGGTAGGGTGGTGGTGGTGGTGGCGTTGGGGGGGCGTGGTGGGGTGGGCGGGGGGGGGGGGGTGGGGGGAGTTGGGGGGGGGGGGTGGTGGGGGGGGGGTGGGGGTGGAGGGGGGGGGGGGGGGGGGGGAAGGGGGGGGCGGTGGTGGTGGTGGTTGTGTGGTGGTGGCGGTTGGGGTGTGGGAGGGGGGGGGGGTGGGGGGTGGGGGGGGGGGGGGGGGGGGGGGGGGGGGGGGGGGGGGGGGGGGGGGGAACTTGTTTTCGCGGCGTCCGGGGGGCGCGTTCGGCGCTGTTAGACGTGGTTCCCGCCGCCAGTCTGCGACCTCTTGCTCTTGGCAAACCGCCCGCGCCCGCCCGCGACCCACCCCGCGACCGACCGAACCGATCGCGACCCAGCCCGCGACCCATCCGCGATTTCGCTCGCGAACCTCCCCGGATTCACTCGCGACCTGACCCGCCTGCTGACCTTGCCCAGCGCCTCCCCCCCCCCCCATTCACTCTTCTGAGCAAGCGGGGAGCGTTGGTTGGGAGGGGTCTTTGATGTCGTCGCCAGTCTTCTCCTGCTCCTCCTCCCCTCATCCCTCCGCATCCCTCCTCCTCCTCCCTCCTTCTCCCCCTCCCTTGCCTCCTCCTCCTCCTCCTCCTCCTCCCCCTCCTCCTCCTCCTCCCCATCGTCCTCCTACCCCCTCGCCGTCGTTTCGCCCCGATCCCGCCTCGCCTTCACCACCCACGCTTCGCCCTTCCGCACCCCTTCCATCCAGGTGCCTTCCCTTCTTTTCCCTCGCCCTACCCCTCTACGCACTATCCATATATATGTCCCGCTCTCTTCTTCTGTCCTCCCCCCTCCTCCTCCTCCTCCTCATCCTCCTCCTCCCCCTCCGCCTCCTCCCTCCTCATCCTCCTCCTCGCCCTTTTAGTCCGACTCCCCGGAGTTGCAACTATTGTTGCCATCCGAGTTGTTTGAAAGCCGGCGTCTCCTCCCGAGCAGCCATGGCCGCCGCCTCCAAGCCGCAGTGCGGCGACAGCACCACGAGTTTGCCCTGCTCGGCAGCCTTGCCCGTCGCCAGGATCTTCGCGCCCGCGTCCTCTCGGGCGGCCGATGGTGCAGGGTCGGGCCAACGTTGCCCACGTTGAGAAAAGTTGCCCAGGTGATGCATCGCCAATGCGCACCGAAACTTGATCCCATGCGTCACCGATGCGCCGTGACGAGGCCTCGACGGGGGGGGGGGGGGGGGAACTGGAATGGGGGGCCCTCGAGAGATGCCAACGTGAGCGAGGACATTGATTTTGCCAGCGCGCCTATGCGCGCATGGTTCCAGTCCTGGGCACTGAAGAAAGGCCCATGGCAAGGTGTGCGAGGCCACATTTATATAGCCGCCCACGCTGACGTTTCTTGCGCGTATGGCAACAATCTAATGCGCTCGAATATCGAGCGCTCGAACGTGCACCTGTGCGAGGCAGATGCCACGCCAGCAAGGATTAAATTGAAGCCCTCGTCGAGGAATGTTGAGTGCAGCCGTGGATTACCATACGCAGGAATCCTAGCTGTGAGGTGCACGAAGAGATGCGATTTGGGTAGGAACTCCTGCTCGGACTGATCCATTAGAACAAGGTGCCGCATACGCAACTCCATCAATACTTTGTACTTGGGGCCAGGAACAAGTTTGTCATGATCTCGCAGAATATTCATGTATTCTATCAGCGACTTGCCTGCCTCATACAACTCATTTCCGAACTTCAGCACCATTCTGTATTCAAGAGCAAAGTCGGTAGCCCACCTCATGAGCACCCCTGTTTCCGCAGCTTTCGTTTTCATGACGTACACGTCCGAACTACCTCCGATCATCTTGGACGTTAGCTCACGCAGCCGCATGTTGGGGTCGATGTTATTTCTGTTGCACCAGCTCTAGTAGTTGTTAAAGATACGCCGTGCACTCAGACCCAAACGTGCTTGAATATCACCTGCGCAATCATATATATATATATGCAGGAAACAAGGTATATATCAGTGATTTGAGTGAGGATTGTTGCGCATGCGCTGTTGTGACATTTGTGTACTGTGGAGAGCCAGTTTTGGCTCAGTTCATGCTGAGGTGGAAAAGGATTTCACCAGCCCTGTCGGGCAAGGTCCGTGGACCCCAGCTCCGCTACATAAGTTATCAAGATAACATTTCAGTACTTGCATGGTAGCGCGATTGGTTTCTGTTCTCCTCATGATGGCTGGTCTTGTGGACACGCGCCTGCTTGGACGACCCAACAAGTACTCAGGCAACCGCGACGAGTTCCCGACCTTCAGATATCAGTTGATCAGCTACTTGGGCGCCATTGACCCGAGATTGGCACAAGCGGCCACGACAGCAGCTACTCACGGCAACGTCATCACGCTTTCAGAGATGGGTGACGACAACAAGCAGTTTGCAGCGACGATGGGATACATTCTATCACAGTTGCTTGGAGGCAGCGCGTTGACCTTGGTGATGAATTGTGAGCCAGGCAACGGCCTGGAGCAGTGGCGACGCCTTTGTCTACGTGAAGACGCGGCCACTGGCTCCAACAAGGTGACGCAGCTGCAGCTTCTTGTGAACACAGAGTTTTCAGGCAAGTGGGAAACATACGTCGAGGAGCTCACGAAGTTTCTACTGGACATGAACCGATATCAAGAGAAGTTCTCAGAAGTGATCTCAGACACCCTCATCCAAGCCTTGATCAAGAAGAACACGCCCGAGCCACTGAAGACTCAGGTGATGATGCAGACCTTCACGAGCCACCAGATCCTACGGGAGACTTGCGAGGCCTTCGCTCAGCAGATGATGCAGCGCGACCCGAAGGTGACCAAGAAGAAGTTCGACCCGAACGCCATGGACGTAGACGCTTTCGACAAGGGCGGCAAGGGCGATTCCAAGGGCAAGGGCTTCGGCGGCAAGTCAGACCAGAAGGGCAGCGGTGGCAAGTCGAGCAGTCAAAGGAGTGCTTGGCAGAGTTCGGGCGGCAAAGGTGGCAAGGGCGACGGCAAGAACAAGATGAAGAGCAAGAAGGGCGAGATGAAGCTCTTCGACGGATGGTGTTCGAATCCCCACTGCGGCAAGTACGGGCATAAGATCGCGGACTGCAGGAAGTACGGCGGCGGCGCTTACCAGCCTGGAGGAGGTCAGCGATCCGTTTCTGAGGTCCAGCCTGGACTTCAGCCAGCTCCAGGATCGGGCTCAGCAAGTACGGTCCATCCAGGAGATTCAGCGTCACAGACACGAGTGGGTGGAAATGGACGCGTACAGGCAGCAGTACTACCAGAGGACGAAGGGGGTTGGATTTTCGCGTTTACGGACGACACTGACGGGGACGAATGCGAGATGCTCGTGGATAGTGGAGCTCACACTCATGTTGTACCAAAGGCTATGACGGAGAAGTGCAAGCTCACAGGCGAGCCAGGTCAGTCTCTGCGATCCATTACTGGTAAGGGTATTCGGACTTGGGATAAGCGGACATTGACGGGTGAGGTCTTCGATTCGAACACGTCGATCCCTGCAAAGCTAGACGTCACGCCAGCTGGAGTTCGTAGAGGTGCCCTTTCAGTTGCAGAGATGAATGATGCAGGTTATTCGGTACACTTTGATCCTGACGGAGCCAAGATGTTCAAAAGCAACAAGAATGTGCAGCACGAGATAGATAAAGCGATCGAGTCGACAGTGACTTTGCGGTTGCGACGGAAGGTGAATGCGTTTCTTCTTCCCATGAAGTTCAAGGATCCGACAGGCTACGAGTCCATCATCGGCGATGTCGAGGACCACTCTGAGAAGGACGACGAGCAGATGAAGGAGGAGCCTGTCGAGACGCAGCCTGTGGAGGTGCAGGCTGACAGTGGAGCGGCTAGTTCACGTGATGGCCCACGTGGTGTCGCAGAAGGAGTTCCAGATCAGACGGGGACGCCCGTCGCACCCGGGCTCAAGAGACCAGCTCGGATGTCAGGAGAACATGTCAGAGCGCACATTCGGAGAGGTCACATTCCTTTCGAAGCTTGGTGTCAGGAGTGCATGATGGGACGAGGGCAAGAGGACCCTCATCGCGCGAGAGATCCAAACGCATCGGCTACTCCAGTCGTATCATTCGACTATGGGTTTCTCAGTCTCGGTGAAGATGGATCAGGTCGGCGTCTTACCCTGGCAGTCGGCAAGGACAGGAGGACAGGTTACCTCATGGGAGTTGTCGTGGAAGCTAAAGGCAATCAGAGCTACGCTATAGCGGCCATCAGCGAGTACCTGGACGAGCTGGGCTACATGAGTATGGAAGTTCAGTTAGACGGAGAACCAGCGCTGGAGGCACTCATGAATGGAGTGATTTCGGAGCGTATCAAGAAGCTCGGCAAAGAGGCAGCTGAAGCTCAACTTCGAGTACGGCTAGTTCCAAAAGGAAGCCACGCTTCTCAAGGTGGAGTTGAGAGTGGAGTCAAGTCGGTTGCAGGTCTTGCGAGGACTGGACGTTTGACTCTGGAGAAGCGTTACAACATGAAGTTCGCTGAGGATGTACCTATCATACCTTGGATGATTCGGCATCAGATATTCTGCCACAACAGGTACCAGCGGAGGAGGAGCAGTGGTCGCACATCTTTCGAGGAGCTCAGGTTGGCACCGTACACTTCACCCATGCTGGAGTTCGGAGAGACAGTGATCGGCAAGGAGCACACGGAGCTGCAGGACAAGCTGGGCACAGCCTGGTGCAAGGGACTGTGGCTGGGACGCAGTTCGAAGAGTGATGCTCATCTTATCGGCACGGCGACGGGGGTAGTTCAGGCCAGGACAGTGAAGCAGCTGACGACTGAGGAGAGCTTCGACATGGAGATGCTCAAAGCCATGCGTTGGACGCCTTGGAGGACCTCGGTTAGAGCTGGAATCTACGAGGGCGAGAACTGGCAGCCGACGGAAGGATGCCCTGGGTGTGAGTATGCAGCTAAAGGTCAGCACGGACGAGGACGGCCACCACACCACAGCAGGACATGCCAGCAGCGTCGGGCCGAGTACGAGAAGTCAATCGCCAGTAAGGACGACGAGCAGCCGAAGGTGGTCGTGGTTCCTGTGCCTACGGCCAGCTCGGAGGCTAACAACGGCGAGCAGCAAGCGCAGCGACCAGCAGGGCCAGAACCAGCACAAGGTCAAGATCCAGTTGAAGCCGTTCGTCGGGAGGTGCAGAAGATCGAGAGGAGGCTTCGAGGCAAGCAGGGAGTACCAGCTCCAGGGGCACCCGCCAAGCGAGGAGCTGCTGACGCTGACCTCGGTGAAGGCGGCCCTGGAGGCCCACCTGGGAATCGAGGCCTGGTGGGAGCCATCGAGAGCATGAGTACTGGCGACCTCAAGAGGCTCGTGGCGGGCTTCAGCACGGAGGAGATGATGAGGCTCGTGGGCGAGGTCGACAAGGAGCTAAAGGACGACAGCGAGTTCAGCATCGTGATGGGCTGGACCGAGAACGACGAGTGGGGTGCGAAGCAGTGCGAGCTAGATCGGTTCGACAACTACGACGTGTGGGAGCTCACGCTGAGGGACCCTCACGGGCCTAAGGCACTTACGTGGACTTGGGTTTTGGAGATGAGGAGTGGCGAGCTCAAGGCTAGGCTTTGTGCGCGACCATTCGGCAAGCAGGTCAACAAGAGCAAGAATGAGCTGTACTGCCCTACTCCACTTTCATTCTCACTCAAGTTGCTCATGGTCTACGCTATCGTTAAGGATTTCGCCATCTTCTTTTTCGACATATCTCGAGCGTTTCTGTACACGCCGATTCGAGAGTTGGTGTACGCAGAGGTTCCGAAGGAGTACTGCCATCTTCCCGATGGATCAGATTGGGTTTTCAAGCTCAATAAGACCGTCTACGGACTTAACGAGGCGATGATCGATTTCGACGACCACTTTGAGAACATCGCTACAGGACGGAATGATGAATCCAAGATGACGTTCAAGAGGTTTCTTTCTGACCCGTGTACGTTTGCAGACAAGGCTAATCAAGTTGCTATGTCCAAGCACGTTGACGATGGCACGCTGGTGGGACCCAGAGTTTCAGCCAGCAAAGTGTTGGAGGAACTCGGCACACATTTTCTACTCAAGGTTTCGGAGCTCACAGTCGGTGGTCCTGAGATCAAGCACCTTGGACGTGGCTGGCTCCGCACCCCCGAAGGCATTCAAGTTCGCATGTGGCCTGCTATTGTCAAGAAGCTACTCGACTCTGAGCCCAATGATAAGAAGACGAGCCCAATACCAGGAGTCAAGAACGAGAAGAAGGTCGAGAGCGAGGAGGAGTTGGATTCCAAAGCGGCCACAAAGTTCAGGAGCGTCAACGGCCTCAACATGTTCGTGTGTTTGGAAAGGCCTGAGTGTCAGTACGCAGCGAAGGAGTGTTCGAGGGGGATGTCACGACCGACGGTGCAGGACCAGACGAGGCTCACGCGCATCATCAGGTTCATTCGAGCTCACCCGTCTTCAGTCACGCGCATGTATCCAGACAGCGGCGATTTCAAGATTATCGGACGTGCAGACTCTAATTGGGCGGAGGATCCTATCGGGAGGAAGTCTACAAGTTGTGGTCAGTTGTTTCTCAATGGAGCTATGATCATGCAGTTCGTCAAGACTCAGGGGGCACCAGCACTCTCGTCGCCCGAAGCTGAGTTTAACGCACTCGTGCATGTCGGGATTGAGGCGAGAGGAGCACAGACTTATCTCAAGGAGCTCTTGGACGAAACTGTACCAGTGACGCTGGAGAGTGACAACTCCAGCGCTCTCACGAACGTCGAGAAGAAGGGAGTTGGCAGGATGGGGCACATCGAGTTGAAGGATCTGTGGATCAAGGACCTAGTCGCACGCAAGGCGGAGACGAAGGTCAGCACGAGCAAAGTTCACACCAACGAGAACACCGCAGATATTGGGACGAAACATCTTTCGAGGATCGATTTCATGAAGCACCTGACGGCGATGAAGGTATGGCTCACTGGGAAAGGTGAGGTTGGTGAAGTATCAAGTTCGAGCAATGAGAAGAAGGGCCAGATCGGTAAGCCGGCGCTGGAGCTGATGGGAGCACTTACTCAATGCTTGGTGGGTCTTGGTGCGTTTCTTCAACTTGGACGCGCGGGCGCTACTGAGTTGGTGGAGAAGGAGTTTCAGCCAGTCGCGATCTCAAGCCCTGCAGATGATGAGAGCCATTTTGGCGTTTCCACAACGGTCGTGATGATGATACTCACCCTTTTAAGTGTTGTCGCAACGAGTGCAGTCTTCAAAGTCAAGCAGCACATCGACCGTATCACGCAGCCAGCACAGAAAGATGCCTCAACTCAGTACAGCCTGAGGGACACGATGAAGAATGGAGCTACGAGCAAGATCGTGGTCAATGATCTTCGGGCTATGTTCACAGCTATGACTATAGACAGTGGACGGGAGTTTCTACGACTACGGCGAGTGGATCGGGCCGTCTCGACATACACGAAGGCAATGGTGGTCGAAGCATGTGTGGCGACCGCCATCGACGACATAAAGCAGGACAAGATCTACAGTGTTGATGGGTTTGTCGGGATTTGGCACCCTCACTCGCTGGCTATGATTCGATATTGATATGTTTCCAGAATGCGTGCCCGATCTTGGCATAAAGCTGCAGATGGGCCCGAGGAGGAGTGCAGGAAACAAGGTATATATCAGTGATTTGAGTGAGGATTGTTGCGCATGCGCTGCTGTGACATTTGTGCACTGTGGAGAGCCAGTTTTGGCTCAGTTCATGCTGAGGTGGAAAAGGATTTCACCAGCCCTGTCGGGCAAGGTCCGTGGGCCCCAGCTCCGCTACATAAGTTATCAAGATAACATTTCAGTACTTGCAATATATATATATATATATATATATATATATATTCGTCGATGGCCGCCCAAATGACAGCGCGGCAAAACCTTTGCAGGGGGTCGCAAACATGTTGCGCCCCACCCTGAGGCCCCCCCCCCTCTAGACTCCACTGGGTCCTGGATCAGAGAGGCCGCTCATGTTCTTGCTTGTTCGGTTGTGCATCGGATCATCCGCTCCTCCTGTGTCCTCCTGCGTGCTGCGTCCTCCTCCCCGCCCACCTGCCCCTCCCCTCCCCTCCTCTCGTTTTCCCTCCCCTCCTCTCCTGGTTTCTTCCTCCCCTGCTTTCGTTTCCCTCCCCCTCGCCCCCGCTCCCCCCCAGCTTCGTCTCATGGGGGCGGGGCGATGGATTGGGGCGGAGGCCGCGGGCCACAACGACCGGCTGGCTGGGATCGGGGAGCGGGGGGGGTCAGCGGTAGACGAACGGTAGATTTTCGGTAGGTGCGCGGTAGGTGTGCGGTTCGGGGAGGGGGTAGGAACGGGGGAAGGAAGAGGGAGGGAGAAAGGGGAGTGGTTTTATTGCACCGGTCGCCCTCGCAAATATTCCGAGGCACAGCGCGTGCAGGGTGTCGACGTGCATGTCGTCGGGGCGAATGCCGACGGATTCGTGAAACAATGGATTCCCGCGGTGCGTTCGGTCGTTCAAGCGTGTGCCATCCCAGCGTTGCCTCCAGAATGTAGCTGTGAATCCCAGCGGCGCATTCTCGAAGCTCATCGTGTCAAATAATTCCCTGGAAGGTTCTAGCCTATCCAACTTTTGAAGATTCAATTCAGGACAGGCTGCCACGCATATACGACCAAGTGCCTTGCGCCTCTCATCAGTAAAGAGTATGTCTAATACACGTGCTCGCTTAGCTTCAGTATCTATCAAAACTCGGATCTCGTGCCCATCGCAGTCGGCGTCGCATGAAAGTTTGCGTTCGCCCCAAACTCCCATGTCGTCCAGAATCACGCCCGCGAAGTCGAACAAATTTGTTTTGTTGGCGCTGCAATATAGACATGGGAAGTTCTGCGAGGACCATGTTGGGAACCCCGGGGTGTTGCAATGCTCGCTGCAGTCTCCGCGGATCTGCGTGAGCACATAACGAGCTACAAGGGCATGACCGACGAGCTTCGCCGAAGGCGAGTCGGGGCCCCAATCGGATCCACCCCATTTTTTTCAGGACGAACGCCATCAGCAACAGCAGCAAACGACCACCTCAAGTGCTCCATCACGCCGCGAAGTGTGTCCCATCCACGGCGCCCGCACTTGCATAATTCTGCTTTGCGTAATGCAACTGCAAGGTGTCTTTTCTGTGTGACCAGATTGAAAATTGTGAAACCGATCACTGAGTCGGCGCGACCAGCGCCGACGGTTCGTGTGAAACGAACGCCGTCTAGGTACAATGCCACGGGGGACACGTCCCGCGTGTCCCCCGCCCTCAATCTGCGCGGGTGCCGTCGAAACGTGGAGGCCCACTCCTCTGGGTCTGGCGGCTCTGGGCATCGGCCTTTATCTCTCAAAGTGTTCAGCTCGGCCTCGAGTAGCTCGTCGGGGGGGGGCCACAGGGCTATCTTTAGTTTGTCTCTGCCCTTTGATGTGCGCAGGTAGTCTAAGCACGTGGAGTTCTGGGGCGCTTTCTGACTGAGGTAACGCTGCCTTTAAGTGTGCACTGTATTTGCCCGTCTGCTTGCCTGGCGCCAGCGCGTAGGCCCGCAGATCGTCGTTATCCGCCCCAGCTGTAACAGCGAAATGCGATAACATACACATAGTTTTAGCGCCCATCTTCCCACTTGCGTAAAGACGCAACAAATGTTCGCACAACTGGATTCCTGCTTGAATTTTCGCCTCATGCAATTCGTGGTCAGCGTCGTCCCAA